AAGTCTTAACCAACTTCCTATTGAACGCACGCTGGGTGTCCACTGGAACGTCGAAGATGATGCCTTTTGTTTCAAGATAAAACCTTGTGACAAACCAAATACCATGCGAGGTGTGCTTTCATGTGTTTCCTCCTTTTATGATCCAATGGGATTTGCTGCACCAGTTCTTTTGCCTGCTAAGCAAATTCTCCAAGTGTGGAGAACGATCTACTGAAATCATGGATTAATTGGAAATCACTTTTACCATTGATGACTCAAATAAGCATCCCTCGTTGTTTCTACCGACTTCCAGATCATGACGATGCTGTTGTCGAGTTACACCATTTTTGTGACGCCTCAGAGATTGGATACGGTACCGTGTCGTACCTACGCATCATCTACAGCGACGGAACTATTAATTGTTCGTTTGTCATGGGAAAGTCGAGAAATGCTCCCATTCGGTCACCCACGATTCCAAGACTCGAATTGCAAAGTGCATTATTAGCTGTACGAATGAATAAGATTATTAAAGATGAGCTCGATATAACCATACATGAAACGTACTTTTGGACGGACAGTATGATAGTATTGTCGTATATTCGCAACACGACGAAACGATTTCAAACGTACGTAGCTAACCGAGTAAACGAAATTCGGGAATCAACTGATCCGAGTCAATGGCGGCACTGTCCAGGAAGTTTGAATCCTGCGGACGATTGTTCTCGCGGTTTGGACCCTCAGCAATACATAGAACAAGAGCGATGGCTAAGAGGTCCAGAGTTCTTTCGAACCCCAGAGATACATGGCCCGATGAGCCAATTCAAGAGATACCCGACAGCGAACTGGAAATCAAAAAGAAGAAAACGACTTGTGCGACTCGCCTCCAGACGACTGTAAGCCCTCTGCTCTATGAACTACTCGAAAGATACTCGGACTGGTCGAAACTACTTAAATATGTGGCTTGGCTATGCAAGTACAAAGCTCGGTTGAAAAATGGCAAACGTTTAGAATGCAATACTTTATCCGTGGATGATCTGACTTTAGCTAAACGAACGATTGTTTTACTTGTTCAACACCAGTCGTTTCCGGAAGAATTGCAAGATCTTAAAAGAATGGATAAAACCGGTCAACGTGTGAAGAAATCGAGTTCGATTGTGAAGCTTAAGCCCATGTTAGGCGAGAACGGACTCCTAAGGGTCTCTGGTAGAATATCAGAAGCACCAAGTACGTTTGACAGCAAACATCAGATGATTTTACCTCAGAATCACCATGTTACAACCTTGATAATTCGTTTTAATCACCAACAACTTGGACACTGCGGACAAGAGCAGTTGTTATCTCGACTTCGAGAAGAATTTTGGATCGTTAAGGGCAGAGCGACTATTAAACGAGTGATCAGCAAATGCATACCGTGTAGGAAAAGATACTCTGTACGGATGACCCAAGAAATGGCAGAGTTACCTAAGGTTCGCCTTACTCCTTTCGAACCTCCCTTTACAAACACGGGCATTGACTTTTTCGGACCACTTATGGTAAAACACGGACGGGGTTCTGCCAAGCGTTATGGATGTATATTTGTATGTATGGCCTCGAGAGCCATACATCTAGAACTAGCCCAGTCTCTGGAAACCGATGATTTCATCATGGTGTTACGAAGATTCTTAAACATTCGGGGTGGCGTTAAACAACTGCGTTCAGATAACGGTACAAATTTCGTGGGCGCAGAGCGCGAGTTACGTGAAACTTTAGAAAGGTGGAATCAAAATCAGGTTGAAGAGCATTTAAGACAAACCGGAGTAGAATGGATTTTCCACCCGCCATTAGCGTCCCATATGTCGGGAGTGTGGGAGAGACTGATTCGTGGTGTTAAACAATCGTTGAAGGCTATCCTAGGAAAGACATTAGTTAAAGAAGAAGTCTTGAGAACGGTGTTATCAGAAGCCCAAGGGATTGCCAATTCCAGACCTCTGTGCCCGAACTCGGGCGATCCTCGGGACATGGAGCCGTTAACTCCGAATCATCTGTTACTTCAAAGACCAGCGATTACTCTACCTCCTGGAAAATTTGACGATGCTGATTTGTATAGCAGAAAGAGTTGGAGACAATCACAAATTTTGAGCGATCATTTTTGGAAACGGTGGTTACATGAGTATCTACCAACTTTACAACAAAGACAAAAATGGCTTACACCACAACGAAATTTAGCAGTTGGTGATCTTGTACTCCTAGTAGACGAGAATCTTCAACGAGGACATTGGCTACTTGGTAGAGTGATGAAAGTGTTTCCTGGAAAGGATGGTCTTGTCAGAGTCGCCGAAGTGAAAACGAAAAACAATGTTTTGAAACGTCCAATTCAGAAGTTGTGCTTCCTGGAGGCTGACGAATGAAGGTGGTAAATGAGCTAACGTGATACGCTCATTGGGGGGCCGGGATGTTACGGACGCTACTATAATTAATCTAATTATTTCGCGCCGTTTGTTGACATTAGCATAATTAATTTAGGGTCAGTCTTCGCGAGCAAGGCTTTTTGGAAAACTATTGATATTCGTGATAGATATACAAACGTAATCTGCTTTAAAATCGCCATAAGATGTAAGAATTTCTTTCATTTTGGCTTTGAACCACTTGAACTTGTTGTTAATGAACGTTATTTGTAATTCTATGTAGCAAACCTTTGTTTACGACCGATATTAGTCGAAATACGGACAGAATCGAGGACAGAATGATGCATGGATATTTGATATGTACAAGATATTTGTCATGATGTACTGCTTAAAATAAACTAAATTTGAGAGTAAATAAAGTGTAATGATGTGGTGATTATTATTTGATATATAAACGACATTCGGTTGGGTTTGTTCCCAACAAAGTCTACACGGCTAAAAACGATCAGCGGTTGTTGCAATAGTTGATGAAAAAGGATTGAACAATGTTTTGCTGCCCACATTGTGCACAGTTGTCAACAATCATGCATGAACAATATTGTTACACCCGATTCAGGCCCAACAATATGTTACGAAACATCACTCATACATAGAATTTTACTGATAAAATAAACAACACAAAATGTTTGCTTGAGAGCAGGTGAAATGCTCGTGCAAGTAAATATTATCCAAAGCATAATGAGAGGAGATAATGGTATTTTGCCACAAATCAAAGTAAAGTAAATATTTCAGTTCTCGGGAAAACATTCATTGTTTCTTCCATTAGGCTATGACAGTTTGTTAGACTAGCTGCAGTTGTCTATGTGGAAATGTCATGTTTTGATTGACCTGTTTCCTATAGTTTATATCGTGGGCAGATTTGTTTAATTTAAAGAGAGCAGCTGCCTGAGGTCTCATGAACATTGACCTTTCACGTGGACAGACTCAAGCGTAAAATATGAGTCATCCCAAGCTAGATAACACTCGGTCATGCAATTAAAATATTACGTCATCAAAATCTTAGTTCGATAAAATTGTAAGTAAATTTAGTTCAATAGGTAAAGTAAGGATCAGATAGGTATAGTTTGAAGATTTTACTACGATATATTGATAAGTATTTTAAGTTGTGAACATGTTTTAATGATGATCGATTGAACAGCAAACCGACTCGACCTGTACGACAACGCCTTAAATAAACAGAATGTGAGAGCTGGAACGAGCTAGCAACGCCAACCCACTCTTCCATAGCTCAACGTCGATTGGCTGGATACAGATCACACCACTTCTCAGACCACGTGTACAAAGATTCCCTCAACCGTTAGTATAAAAGGACGTGCACAATCCAAATTCGTCAGTGGACTCAACGAAGTAAAAATTATGTATGAAAAATTGTAGAAAGCTCAAAAAGAAACAAAGACAAAACGACAATGAATACGAACTAAGAACAACGAAGAAAGGCTAGTAAAGAAAGGAGAGAACTTTGAAACAGAACTATTCTTATAAGTAATAGCATGGCATTCAGGTCGATTAGTGATTAAATGTACCCGAAAGCCGAGAGAGGTTTAGTAAAAGTCCAAGGCGCCAAGGGACTTTTACTAAACCTCTCGAGGCTTGAGGGACATTTCATCACTAATGGGATTTGTAATATCATAGTTGCCGAGGGAATCGCGCGTGGTGTGTTGCCTGTTTTGAATGCTGTTTGATTGTCTTATGATTGTGGTACGAACACTTTTCACATATACGCACGTGCAGAAACACATCTCCGTGTTCATTCGTTTTAGGCATCCGCATAAACGGAATTTTCTCCCACAATTGTAATGTTCAAGATTAGGGAATAAAAGCTGGCAAAGTGATTGTTCGAATGTGTACGGGACGGTGTCGTCAGATACTGTCCATAGTTGTGCCGATGATTTTCGATGAGGTACAGCTCTCCAATCAGAGGTAATGAGGTACGCTTTTGTCTTCTAAATTTCCCTCATCAAGCATGCAGGCACAGAAGAGATAATACCAGAAGTCTTAGTCAAGCGGAAACATGTCCCATCTTTTTTATTGCGCATGCGCGAGCTAAACAAGTGTAATGCAATGTTGACAATAGAAAATTATATTGGGAAGTTGTCATTCCTACAGTAAAAACAGCTTTTTTTCAAGTAGTACGAAATGTGACTTCGATTTATCTGTGGAACTATTTGAACAGAAGGTAAAGCAGTAATTTTGTTGTATTTAGAAAGCAAACAGGGTCATATTTTTAAAAAAATAGCGCACTAAATATAAATTTGAGCATCATTAAAATGTGTTCGCTATGATGCCATTTTGTCTCGAGTATATACGGAGTACTGCTTTTATACTGGTGGATATTCGAATTTATTTGGCTCAAAAACACCATTACTTCAATATCCCTTTCTTGTTTTTCCTTGGATAGGTTTTAACAAGATAGAACTCTAGATCACTTGGGTCCAAAAACGCTAGATTATAAAATCCTGATGTGACTTGATACTACAAATAGAATATGTCTTGTGATGTAATACTACAAATAGAATGACAAACTTCAATGAATTGATAAAGTGTAAGGATAGTGTTTAAAGTTGCTTCATGTGTAGAAGCTGAATTACTTTAGTTTATACACTGTAATGTCGATATCACATGTTGATGACTTTAATACTAGCAACTCGCAATAAGTGGTCTGTCCTGCTTGTTTATAATACTTTAGAGTTTGGACATTAGAACATTGTAATTGCCTGACAGAGACTGTTAGGGCCTGTTTGTATGGAAGCCAGGCTGGCCCGCTTAGCGAGACAGCCCGGTAAGGTAGATACGCAGGATGATTTCTCTTGTGTTTATTTGAGAAAATTTCATCCTGCTTACTGGGACAATTTTGTTGTTTTGACATTGTTTTGACAGTTATTAAAAATAGCTTGCGGCAGTATCGTTGAACTTTCATCCTGGCAACTGGGCTAACCTGCTTGTGATTGTTTATATGGAGAAATTTCCATCCTGGTCTCTGCAACAGGGCCTCCCGCTTGTAGATAGAAACAATTTTAATTATAATTTTTACTATAAGAATAAGTAGACAGCGAGATCTCACTTACCGGGCTGTCTCACTTAGCGGGCCAGCCAGTTTCAATATAAACAAGCCCTTAAAAGCTGCAAGTTTCCTTAAAGCAATATCATCTATATCACAGAATACAGTTTCTGTAGTGACATACTTTGTGTGTTTTCTGTCTTTAAAGTGTCTTATGTTTGTAATATTTTTGTACAATACCTTTTTGAAATTGTTGATACTGGTCTCAATGTAACTCAGTTATTCCTTCTCAAGAAAAATAAAAAACAAAGCTGTGTGGGTGTGTTTTTGCTCTAGTTTTTACATCTACATGATTCATGTACAATTAATGTACATTTAAATTAGCTTTGTTCAATGAATACAGGTGTGATTCAAATATCATTCCTATCTGGTACTTGGATCAAATAGACATAAGCATACCAAATCATGCTATGAATTGAAATGGGTCATTCCAGAAAACATCCATACCTCCCCCACGGAGGAAATTGGAAGTTAACCCCCTACCCCCTTCAGATGTTCTAATACATTTACCATTATCAGAACCAATTTTTTCTCCCCTCCCCCTCCGGACGGCAGAAATTTCCTCCGTGGGGGGAGTGTGGATATTTTCTGGAACGACCCAATACAAGTACTGTATAGGGTGTGTATTGTTTAAATAAATATATTTTCCAGTTAACCCAGTAAGCTGCATTGTGCCCCAATGCACCCTACTTTACTAGTTTATTTCACTTCATCTAATGCCAGATGATTTTACTTATCGAGGGGGAGTGCTGCTGCTCATTGAGCTCTGATTGAGTTCACTGAAAGGCAGCACTTTCCCCTTGACGAGTGAAATTGTCTGGTGTTAGACAGAGTAAAATAATCTTGCGTTCAATAAAGTAGCTACTTTTTCAAAAGCTCAACCAGGCTAAAGATTCTTTGATTTGAAAACCAAAGTGATAGTGAACTAGTTAGTTGAAACAAACAGAATTGTTCGATTTATTTACTTTCCACAACATAATTTGACAATTAAAATTTAATTTGATACTTTTCCAGTATGCATTCTTCATTGACATTATAGAGGTTCAGATTTGACTACCATTACCATTAAGGGACCATCAAATGCATTTGATATATTCGATCAACCATGATTATAACCAATCAGATGCATACTAAGGCAGTCAGATATAGTGCTAGTAGAACTCAAATCTTAACCTCTACAATGAAAGTGCGAGTTTATTCATAAACTAATTATACGTAAATCAACTTTCATGCAATCATCTAGTTATGCACCAGTCAATGTAAACCCTTCCCCCAACCGGGGAGGGGCGGGAGGTTTAGTGGGGAAAGTGGTCCGTTTTGATTATAAATTTGCCCCGATGATGGGAGACTTGGACGGTGGTTAATATATATATCCTGTGTTGCTGTTTTAGTTTTCCCGACAAGAAAAGTTTAAATACAACAACATTTAAATGAATTTGATTTTCTATTGCTTATCTATGATTATACAAAACTATTTTCCCACGGTTGAGAGACATGCAGGGAACATTGATGTCCCTGGGGGTGGGACAATTTTGCTCTTTTACTACCCCTCCAAGTCAAAATCCCTGCCCCTCCCCGGTTGGGGGGTTTACATTGACTGGTGCATTAATTAAAGAGGTGTCAGTGCCACATATGTAGTAAAAGCCAACTTGTCAGTAAAGGCCACAGAGCAAGATTGTATTTCAAAGATTGCCAGTGACAAGAACAATTGATAGGCCTGAAATAGAGTATGCCAACAGTTAGTATACTGCAAATAACTATTCTATCGACAAGATAATGTGTGTTTTTACAAATGTTTTTATATATCAATCCAATGGCATGTAACCTAAAATTCAGCAGTGTCTGTGTAATGTAATACACCCTTACTTCTCAATGGTCAAATTAACTATACTACATTGTGTATAATAATATATGGACTGGTTCAAAAATATATTGAATTTATAACTTATAAGTGTTGAACTGGTGAACTATTGATGTGGAGATTTATGCCAAGTATACAATGGCACAAGGATTTTCATGTTATCAGCATGATTAAATCGTGAGATTGTGCAAATAATCTGTGTAAAATCTCTTAGAGATATCCTCGGTAGCCACATTTTAAGGTAAAATAACTATGGTAAAGCTATTCAAGGAAAAAAATCATTGGATCTGTCAACCTCGTTGTCAACAGTGAATTTAACTAAATTTATGATCCATTTATTGCCGTATTTTAGCTGAGAATTCATTTAAGAAAATGCAATACGATAGACTTACCTTTGAATTTATCATATATTCTTTTAAAATGGTCACCAAAGCTCTAAAACTCGATTGGTAATGTTTACATGTAAATTTGTCAAATTACACTTGTTTAGGGCACTGGAAACGAGACGCGGCCAAGATGCGAGAGCCGACATGCGCGGGGACATCAACATCAAAGATTCCGACATCGAGTAAGACTTCTGGTCTTATTATTTATTTTGTGATGCAGGGGAAAATTAGAAGACAAAGAAATCCTATGTTTTCAACTAAATTTACCGGGTAAATTTAGAAGACAAAGCGTATGCATGGGTAATGAGGTAAATTAGTGATAATCGTACCTCGCGAGACAAAGGATTTCGAGGCAACTATGATATTACAATATTAACAATAGTAACAATAATTAGAAACACTGTAACGATTCCCTACCTCGCGTAGAAAACAGAATAAAATCACAAATTTTTAACAAATATATGTTGTTCAATATTGTCGACAAGTGTGAACAACGTGGGCAGCAAAACATTGTTCATTCCTGTTAAACAGCGAGCTCAGCGTTTTTACGTGCGAAGGCTACACGGCCAAAAACGCGCAGGTTATTCCACTAGTTGATATCGACAGGCGGGAACAATGTTGTGCGGCCAACTATGATCAAGTTGTCAACCATAATTGTTCCAAGTTGCTACAGTTGAACAATGCTGTAACAATATGTTGACAATACTGTTCATAGCAGGCCGCACAACCTTGTTCACCCCTGTTGATATCAACAAGTTGTTGATTTTCTCAATTTTTACGCGTGTAAGTAATTGATGCAAGTAAGCGTAATCTCATTGTCGTTCATCAATCATATATAGTATCTCTAAATTCGTAGATTTTTGGTTATACAGATTCATATTCGTTATGAATCACCGAGCCCTATATAACTAAGGACTATCCTTACCCCTGACTACAGCCCTAACTGTTCGCCCTCACTCACAAACAGCTAGACATGAATCTATATCCTCATCTGTTAAGATTTAGTTGGCAATTCCAGGGCAATAACTAGACGCGATAACGTGTGCATATTCATATATTCCTGTTCTGCCTCGCTGATTTATTTTGAAAGCGATTGTTTTTACGGTATGTAAACATCTGAATATAATAAATATGCACCCCCCCTCCCCCTCCCCCCACCCCCAAGAGGGTGGGAAAGGGGGGTATGGATCACGTTTCACAACGAAAAAAAGCTGTTTCACGATTCACGTGTCTTAAAAAAGCAATTTCACGAACTAGATTCTAATAAAATAATATACTAATAATATGTTTATTAAGAGTATGTTCCGGCAATGCATGGTACAACCTGAGTCAGTTAAAAACTAGATCATAACTTTAGAAGTTTGAGTGACGAGTATGTCCGACGGCCTCCGAAAGGCCTCAAAGTTTTTACTCTTGTGCAATCGAGTGAGATCATATAAATTGATTATCGCGTATCACGTCTATTATGACTATTATAAAATAGATCGAAAATAAATAAAGTAAAATCGCAGTTCACGAATCAGACATCCTTAATTCTCATTTCACGGGGCATTTTTATCGACAATCACGCCTCACGGCTGTAGAACAAATCCCATTTCACGACACTAAAATCAAGCATTTCACATTTCACGCGAGCAAATATTGACCATTGACGGCTCACGAAAATACCCTTTCCCACCCTCCCCCAATTATCATGTCTAGTAACAGTCCTGGGCATCTTACGCACAGACCAGGACCAGGACCAGGAACAGGAACAGCAACAGGAACAGGAACAGGAACAGGAACACCAACAGCAACAGGAACAGGAACAGGAACAGGAACAGGAACAGGAACAGGAACAGGAACAGGAACAGGGACAGCAACAGCAACAGGAACAGGAACAGCAACAGCAACAGCAACAGCAACAGCAACAGCAACAGCAACAGCAACAGCAACAGGGACAGCTGCGAAATGCAACTTTAGGTCCTTGCATGGCAGGACCTGGCACGGAGACAGCCTCGTCCCCAGACGCCTTGATTTGCGGCTATTACTATAACAAGGAATGGGGAATCGGGGAAAGGAATCGAGGAATGGGGAATGGGGGATGCTAAAACCCGGAATACTAAAAGCGGGAATCTCTGAAACCCGGAATACTAAAAGCCGGAATCTCTAAAACCCGGGATACTAAAAGCCGGAATCTCTAAAACCCGGAATACTAAAATGGGGAATCTCTAAAACCCGGAATACTAAAATGGGGAATCTCTAAAACCCGGAATACTAAAAGCCGGAATCTCTAAAACCCGGAATACTAAAATGGGGAATCTCTAAAACCCGGAATACTAAAAGCGGGAATCTCTAAAACCCGGAATACTAAAATGGAGAATCTCTAAAACCCGGAATACTAAAAGCCGGAATCTCTAAAACCCGGAATACTAAAATGGAGAATCTCTAAAATCCGGAATACTAAAATGGGGAATCTCTAAAACCCGGAATACTAATAGCCGGAATCTCTAAAACGCGGAATACTAAAATGGGGAATCTCTAAAACCCGGAATACTAAAATGGGGAATCTCTAAAACACGGAATACTAAAAGCCGGAATCTCGAAAACCCGGAATACTAAAATGGGGAATCTCTAAAACACGGAATACTAAAATGGGGAATCTCTAAAACACGGAATACTCAATGGGGAATCTCTAAAACCCGGAATACTAAAAGCCGGAATCTCTAAAACACGGAATACTAAAATGGGGAATCTCTAAAACCCGGAATACTAAAAGCCGGAATCTCTAAAACCCGGAATACTAAATGCCGGAATCTCTGAAACCCAGAATACTAAAAGCCGGAATCTCTACAAAAGATTATAAACTCCGAAAACTATATATTCTGCAAGAAAACTGTCATTATAATATAATTTTTAGAACTTAATTAGTTATATAATATATATTTTATATCGAACATATTTAATATACACTGCCATTTAATACAATATTAATATTTTAAATCTAGATCGACATTTTCCATTCAGACACAGTTTGTGAACTCAATCGTGTCGTTTTGGGGCAGTGTGAAATGGATAAATTCTAGCAAAAACATCAATTCATTTTTTTACAGTAATAAAACGTACGACCACTTTCAACACTAAGGTAAATATGTTTCCGCGAAAAAGGCCCAGGAACTCATTTAGTTTATCTGAAAAAGGCTACTGCGCGATTTATTGTTTGAAAAGTAAACAAATTACAAACCGTCAGGTTAAGTGTAAAAAGGAAAACGGAACGGCACAACATTACAATGATAAGTTATCGCGATATTTTTAACCATGCAACTGCTAATTTTATAGATTCTTAGAAATTCCCCATTTTTGTATTCCGGGTTTTAGAGATTTCGGCTTTTAGTATTCCGTGTTTTAGAGATTCCCCATTTTAGTATTCCGTCAGTTTAGAGATTCCGGCTTTTAGTATTCCGTGTTTTAGAGATTCACCATTACCCACAGAAATATTTCCTCTGAACATTTGAACCCATATGGGCTCCATCTTTCTAAACAAGGAACAGCTAAATTAGCCCAGAACTTTACAAACTATCTAAAAAATCCTAATTGACCATCTACCGATGCTCCACCCCCTTCACAACCTGTTACCAATACAATAAGGCCAGTAAAGCAACCAAACCCTATTCTTCCTAAACTTAAAGGTTTCAAAGTAGCACAACTTAACATCGCTAGCTTGCCTAAACACTATGAAGAACTACTTATTTATATGCGTGATGAACCTTTCGATATATTGACCTTAAATGAAACTAGATTAGACAGTACTTTCCTAGACTGTGAAGTACAAATACCTGGTTATGATATTGTCAGATCTGACCGAAACAGACATGGGGGAGGGGTAGCTATATATATAAGGACTATCATCCCATATATCGTACGTGAAGATTTATTACAAGATACTCTCGAATTGCTTTGTATTGAAGTTAGAAAACCCAAAAGTAAACCAGTGCTTATTTCAACTTGGTATCGACCACCGAGTGCAAAAATTGAATTATTCCAAAAGTTCGAAAACTTCTTGAAGCTGATTGATAATGAAGACAAAGATATTATCATAACCGGGGATCTTAATTGTAATTTTATTGAGCACACTCAAAACCAAGCTACTTCTAAGTTAATTGATATTATTGATATTTTTCAACTGCAGCAACACATACAAACCCCTACTAGAACTACTTATAATTCTTCGTCTCTGATTGATTTAATTCTTACACATATCGACGATGATAAAACCTTAGAAGCCGGGGTTGTTGACCTTGGGATTAGTGACCATAGTATTGTTTATATATGTCGGAAAATTAGCATTCCTAAAGAGCCACCAAAAATTGTATTTACACGACAGTTCAAAAATTACAACTCCCACCAATTTAAAGAAGAGCTAAGCTACTATACTAATCTAGATCCCACATCGAATGATCCAAATGTGCTATGGAATGAATTTAAGAACAACTTTCTTACTATTGCTGAAAAACACGCGCCAGTTAGACAGCGTCGCGTTAAGAGTGAGCATAAACCATGGCTGACGAAAGAAATAAAGCGTTTAATGCATCATAGGGATTATCTTAAAAGACAGAGTGTTCGTTTAACATCGAGTAATTATAACGAGGCCTACAAAAGATGCAAGAATAAATTAAATGAGCTTATTAAAAAGACTAAGGAAGAATACTTTAAAACGAAGTTGTCTAATGCAAATAATAGCAAAGAGAGTTGGCAGGCTATTAATGAGCTATTAAACAAAAAAGCCCAAAACTACCCATGTAACACAGCTAAATGTAGATGACCAAGTTATAACTGGAGACACAAATATTGCGGACTGTTTTAATCAGTATTTTTCATCCATCAGTTGTAAACTGTCGAAAAATGTCCAAAATATTAATGTTGACCCTATGACATTTGTCACTCCTACGGAGAGTTCGTTTCATTTTTCATGTATTTCAGTCCAAGAGACTTTTGACGCCTTAAACCAACTTAATTCAAGGAAATCACCAGGACTGGACGGCATAAGTGTAAAACTATTAAAAGATACAAGCGATGTTACCGCGCAACCATTACCCAACATCTTTAATCTATCTCTTCAGACTGCAATTTTTCCGGACGAGTGGAAAATCGCCAAGGTATCACCAGTCTTTAAAGAAGGGAATAAAACTGATTGCGGAAATTATAGACCAATCTCTGTAATTTCTGTGGTTGCTAAGCTGTTTGAAGGGCTAGTGTACAATCAATTGAGAACGTTTATTGCTGACAATAGGATTCTTGTAGAGCAACAGTCCGGTTTTCGTTCACAGCACTCTACTGAGACGGCACTCTTAGGTTCGACAAATGAGTGGTTATATAACATGGACAGTGGCTTAATCAATGGAGTCCTGTTCTTGGACTTGAAAAAAGCTTTTGACACTGTCGACCATGAAATCTTATTAAAGAAACTTCACCTATACGGCATAAAAGGAACTACTTACGCATGGTTTGAATCTTACATCCAAAATAGGAAATCGATTTGTTTAATGAATGGGAAAAAATCACATGCTAGAGAAATTAGGTGTGGGGTACCACAAGGTTCTAACCTTGGCCCCATCCTATTCCTCTTGTATATTAACGATCTACCTAAGTGTCTAGAAACAAGCAAGGCTAACTTGTTTGCTGATGACACAAATCTTTCGTGTGCCGGTTTAGATGCTAATGAAATCGAGACTAAACTTAAAAGAGATCTTGTGAATGTTCATAGTTGGCTTAGATGTAACAAGCTCACGCTAAACGATAGCAAAACGGAATTTATGATAATTGGCTCTAGACATCATCTTACTAAATTTGAAGACAACCAAGAGATTTCATTAGCCATACGAGATAATAATATTAAACGGGTCACCAACAAAAAATCTCTTGGTTTTATCATCGACGATCAATTAAAGTGGGGTATACACATTGACGCACAATGTAAAAAAATCTCAAAAAATATTGCATTACTAAGAAGAGCCAAGTCCTTTGTTCCTTTACACATTTTAATCAAAATGTATAATGCTCTAGTATCTCCTCACCTGACATATTGCTCAACAATATGGAATGATGGATCTAATACCATTCTTAACAAACTCTCTAAGTTACAAAGAAGGGCAGCTCGGGTTATCACAGGACAATCATACGATGTTCGTTCCACTCAAATACTAGAAAGTCTCAATTGGATGCCAATTGAAGACATTTTAAAGAAAAGAGAAATCATTATGACGTTTAAAGCTTTAACTAACAGACTACCTGATTATGTGCAGAATTTCCTCACGAGATGCGAAAA